GCACCAATTCCGTGGTATTGAGAACCACTCTCTCCTGAAGAGGATGAAAAAGCCCGCAGGCTCAACCCAAGTGTTTGGTAAAAAAAAAAAAAGACCCAGCATTTTTAGAGTGTACTAAAATGTTTTAAAAATGTTTCCAAGGACAAGGCACATAACCTACTGATGTGCATTTCTAATTATAATATAGATTAAGAACTAAGCACGGAAACAAAGTCTTTCTGTATTTGAACTTTGTTCAAATAACCCATACGAAAATTTTTACTATAAAAAAATAAAAATGGGTTATAGTTAAACCATGGTAAACACAAATTAACATTGGTGTTGCTACACTAACCATAGTTTAACCAAGGCATTTGTAGTTAAATTGTGGTTATACAAATGGTAATCAATACGCCAAAAAAAGATGGTTACTACATGTTCACTATAATAAAACTATGGTTAATTTTCGCAAGGGAATAAACGCCTACTTTCACACCTATTTTCAGTACTAACTTTGGTCCCGTGAAGACTTTGTCCCGTCATGAATCATAGATGAACTATGTTTCCGAAATGTAAATGTTTTACTTTAATTTCTCCACTATGCAGCTAACTACTTGGGAGAATGAGCCTCCAACATATTCACTTTCTAACTTTTCAATGTTTATGGTTATAGCACCACTTAATGGTAACAGGCAGCAAATACTCATTCCTAATGTTGCCGCGGCGGTAAAAGTATTATTCAGGTTGAGAACCATCTGTAAACGTCATCTCTCATTCAAACTCGCTCGCTTCCAGCTCGTCAGTCCTCTAACATTGGATTATGGGAAATAGTGCTTCAGCGAGTGTCCATTGGTTGTACACTCGAAATCAGAGAGGATTGTGAGTAAAAAGTAGTTAACGAATGTAGGGAATGAACTCGTTCACTCAGAATTCATAGAGCACTACAAAACGGCCGACACCCGATATAGTGCACTATATATAGGGAGCAGTGCAGGGATAGGGAGCGGTTTCGGACACAGCTTATGAATTAAAGTTATGAAACGACTCATGCAAATGTATGCAAACGTATTTTTGTCGGGTGCTGTTGCAATGGTGAATCATAATTTCGGAGTTCCATTGTTCATGGCTTTTCATAGTCGTGGTGTTAGACTCAGAGTCAACCTACTCAGAGTTGATTGAACCAACTCAACTCAGCTGTTCTGAACCCAAAAACAGAGAGTTTCCCATCTCAGTGTAAGTCAACTCAGAGTTCAAGTTTCAACTCAGATTTGGTTGAACCTCCTTATTGAAACGGGCTCCAGGAAACAAGTGCATGAAACTAAGAAGACGAGCATCTACTGGAGACAACAACTGACCAAAGAACAAATGAAACACAGGGGTATATATAGACAGGATAACAAGGATGACAGAGCTAATGAATTACTATGGAAACAAATGATGGTAACTACGACAACAAAGTAACAAAGGGAAACAGGAAGGGAAAATAGAAACAATAGGGAACAGAAAACTCTTCAACTTAAAAGTCCTTAAAGACAAGGAAACACAATACTGGGATAGTGACAACTTGCGCTAGGTGTATCAGATACAGGGAAAAATTTTGCATTGGTTACATAACATCCATGTTAACCCAAGAACAGGAAAATCAGAAGACTATTTGGCTTTGCAAAGTGGGTCTTTGTAATGTTTGAAGTTAACAATTCACTGTCTACATTTTGTAAATGCATTGCGTTACATTATTGTCTATTGAGCAGCAGGACGTGTGACACTTTTAAGTTGTCCACAATACTAAAATTGCCAAATATCGTTATTGGCAAAGATATCAAATCTAGTTGATTACGTCTGAACTAATTCCAGACAGTCAAGACGGTGCAGAGATAATTAATATTTGTAAGGGTAAAAGAACACTTACACAATTTGTAAATCTAAATTCTAATTTGAATTTCTACACTGTTCATCTTTTGTGGACAATGGGGAATGTAAGGTTGAGCAGTAACTATAGACTTAACATCTGAGACTCAGTTAATTTAGTTGCTCTAAAAGGTAAATTGGCAAACAGCAAAACAGCTAACATCTACACAGACTTCCGTTATGCCCTTGTTGCTGTGCATGACTTGGAAGCAGATTGGCAGCAGAGTGGTTTTCCCACAAACACAGGTGAGACTGAAGGAAGAACCCTTGCTGACCAGGTAGCTGTGGTTGCTGCCACACTCCACATTGCAATTTTTTTCTGGCCCAGCTCCGGTCCACACAACCCCTTTTCCCTTGGCCCAATACCACAAAGAATGACAGCCCTAAAGTAGCCCAGATCTGGATTAAAGATAAGGGCCACACATGGACCAAAACTGACCCGAGTCTCAGTCCCGGAGGGACTATTGACCAGCCCGAACAGCATAACCCCGAACTCGTAGTGCCCAGACGCAGTGGAGAAGGCCATTTTCCATTCATCCCCCTCTCGAATACGGATCAAAATCGGATTAAATTATCAATTCGGATGGCGAGCTCGATGAGCTGATCCAGAGTTTTACCCTCATTGCGCCAGGCGAGTTCAGCTTGTAGCTCCAGATTCAAGCCTTTGCGAAATAGCAGCTTCTCCCCTGTCGAAATATTAGAATCTGATCGCCTGTGCTGCCACCTCCCTCAGAATGTTCGAATACTTCTCGAAAGCATTGTAAAAAAAACTACTGAATGAGGGGAATGTGGGACGATCATTGTCCCAGATGGCAGTTGCCCAGTCGAGAGCCTTGCCAGTCAAAAGAGAGCATACAAATGAAATTCGTCTTTCATCTGTGGGATATAACATGGGCTGCAGAGAGACAAACAAGGAGCACTGGAGTAAAAATTCCTTACACGTGGCGTGGGAAAATAGCTGCTGGATAGGTATCAGGAGAAGTCTTCTGTAATGAGGAGTCAACGGAGTGAGGATCGATGTGCAGCTTTATTCATAAAAGACCAGCAAAAAGACAGGCAGGTTTAAATCACCAGTAGACAGGGTTATCAGAGGCGAGGCAAAAGCAGAGTCAGAGTACAGGCAGAGGATCAGGGCAGGCAGCAAACACTACATACAAGAGTCCAAACAACAGAGCAAGGAGATCGAGGCAGCAGCAAGAATGAATGAATCAAGGAACAGTCCAGGGTCAAACACAGTAATCCAACAGTGTAATACAAGATAACTCTCAGAAATGTCAGCCAGGGTAAAACAAGACTTCACAATGAGCATGGGGAATGGAGGAGCTTAAATAGTCCCGGGAAGGAGCAACAGGTGTGTTCGTAATCAGCACCAGGTACGTGGTTATCGGAAATGGAGTCTGTGGGAAAGCTAGTATTCCGGTGAAGGTGCTGATCGGGGGAACCACAGAGGCCTGATTCGTGAGACAGTTGTATAGTTACGACAGACAAGAGCTTAAAAATGGACACTCATATCAAGCTTGATGAGGATATAGTCAGAGCTTTCAAAGGTACACCGTGGACAGTCAAATTAATTCTAATGCATATCTTGGCAAATTATAATACATATGATATTCAAATACATCCTTCAAAACCACTGATTAATTATTTTCTCCTCTCACAGCCCCTGTGATTAAGCAGTTTCAAATAACACAGTGTCTGAACTACAAGCCCTCAGTTGCAGAAAATGCAATAAGTCATACTCAAAGAAAGGTGAAGGTGAAGATGGTGACATTTTAATTTTCTGTTTCCTTGTTTTGTTCAGCCATTTGCAGGCTTAACCTGAGTTATTAAAAAATGTTTTGTGTGTGTCTGCAAATTCCATTGTGATGCATTTTTATTCAATTATGGAATATTCATTGTGTACTTTACAGTAATACAGGCATAACTGTAATGTTCTACAAATTGATTAAAGTAGTTCTGTCAAAGCATTTCACTGATCTTTATTTTATTATAATTATTTTGCTCAAGAGTTTGTCCTGCTGTATTTTTTTAAATGTACTCAGGGAATTTATTGTTGTAATGTACATATCAATATATAGTACATAAACGTTTTCTAGATTTGAAAGTATGTTCATGTGTGTCATTTTTATTTAATGATTTTTGCACTTTTAAGTATACCATTTTGGATACTGAAATACAGCTTTATAATACACTAATAGTGGTGGTATGCTATTGAAAATGTTCTTGAAGCACATTAAAGTGAAAATATATTCTATCTACAGTTATATATAATATAATATATAATAATATAAAAGTGGATTTTAAATTATATGTAAAGAACTGCAATAAAAGTTGAAGTGGTATATTTTATAAACGAAATATGTTAAAATATAATGCAATTAGCTTAAAATTGATCTTAATCATATCTTAAATAACACATTTTTATTTCAGTTTTAGTTTTTAATTTTAGAAAAAAATATTCCGGTTAGTTGTCTAGGCAACACATTCTAATTAAAATGTCTTATTTTTTTCAAGTGTTCCTTCTAATATTTATATTTTATTTTAGCAGTATTTCAGTTAAGGAAAATTATTAGTAGTTCTAGTTAATGACACCGAATCACTGTCAAAAGTTGCCACGTAATAAAGTCACTTCACAACAATGCAGCAATGTATGCAGAAACATTTAAATGTACATTGAATGTTGAATAATGCAATTTTTTTTATTTAAAGAGCATGTATATATACTGCATAATATTAAGCAAAGTTGCCTCCAGACTTCTACAAAGAGAGAGAGAATAGCAATAAAGAATAGTCCTGAGTAGCAACACTGTTTTAGCTGATCTCTCTGCCATACCCCTCTTTTCAGTTCCTGCATTACCATGCATTTTAATATCCCACAATTCACTGAAATACGAGAAAACAGACACAAGTCAGAACCGCTTGTTTTCAGAGTGAAAAAGCCAGAAGGGAGGGAAAAAAGGAAGGGAGAAAAGGAGGGAGATAAGTCCAGGGAAAAGGAGAGTGCGTAAAACCTGATTCAGAGAGAGGAAAGAGGTGACAGGAGGAGGGAGAGGAGGAGCAAGAAGACAAGAGACTAGAGGAGCGCTTGAAGGAGAGTGGAGAGCGAGAGAAGGATTGTGGGGTGGACATGGGTCTGTGTGCCGTGCTGTTGATTTGTCTCTCACAGGCAGAGCTGACCAGAGTGTGGGCTCAGGAGCAGAAAGGTAAGACATTATTAAACACACACAGAGATATGATGGTTTAACAACATAAGAGACATGCTCAGATTCACTGATATAAACATCATGACTCTCACACACATACAGAGGCATTTGAGCAGCTCATTTTGAATGTGTAATTCCAAACAAACAATACAAACTATTTAATGATAAGCAAATATTTTTATACACAGATATTGATGGGCAAATATTTTAACTGATCTTGTTTGTTTATCTATACTTAACCCTAATGTTCTGTTGAGATTAATTGTTATATTTGGGGTCCCAGAGATCCCAATGATGTATGTATAAAAATAATAACTAATTTCAAAATGAATAATTTATTCACACTTCAAATTATTTAAATAAATTTATCCAACCTAATGAAAATCCAGTAGACTATTTGTTGATTGATTAACGCTTTAAACCTCGGTGTATCATGAAGTAGGCATGCACTTTAAAATGAATGAATGAACAAACACAAATCAGTCAATCAAATCAAATCAAATCAATCAATCAATGTTAATATATAGTAATTTTTGTATAAATGTATGTTCATTTTATAATAAAATAAAGACAATATTTTATTATATGTAGATTTCTGATTTATATAAATAATATGTATATAAATCAGAAATCTATTGTTTTTATTTGTACCTTCATGCATTCATATATGCATTTATCCACACATTCGCACAATTCTTGTTTCAGTATTAGCTAAATGGAGTAATTTGGTGATTAATCAGATCCCAGGTGACAGGTGTGCTGAAGCAGGGTTGAAACTGAAGTCTGCATGGGGGAAGCTTTTCAAGGAGCAGGGTTGGAGACCCCTGCAGTAGAGCACGGCACTAGCAATACCAAGGTCATGTGTTCAATTCCCATGCATTAACTAAAAATAAAAGCTTTAATGCAACATAAGCTGCTTTTCAAAGAAGGTTCTGGAATATGTTACCCATTAGCTTGTCAAACTAAAAGTTCCGCCCAAGACTCACTGTTTTTGTCTTTCAACCTCACCTCTTTGTCTGCTGAACAACAATGTGTGTTTCTATGTATGCACCTTCTCACTTTTGGTTCTGGTGTTTCTAAAGAGCTTTATGAGTCAGAGAAAATGAATCCATGCATTGGGTGCTGAGGATTGTGTTCTAAAGGCTGGCTCCGTTCATGGAGAATACAAACCAAGCATCCCCCTTCCCAGCCTACATCGACTTTATGTTCAACAGATGTCAATCAGAGAACAGGGAAAGAGCAATACAATGTTTCTGGGTCATGCAACATGGGGGTTTAGCAACAAAACGCCCCCTGTTGGCCAGGGTTAGAAGTTTTCATATTTCATTCAAGCATTCACAGAAGTGTCAAAAGACCAAGGTTATGTAAACCATGTGCAAACATAAAGAACATAAAGAACAGTCCTACACATCAGCTTGGCCTTTTTAATACTTTACCCTTATATTCTTTCTCTCTCTTTTTTTTTTCATGGCACACACGCTATGTGTGTGTGTGTGTGTGTGTGTGTGTGTGTGTATGTGTATTTCTGTCCTCCTTGGAGATACTGTATTTTTAGAGGGCCTGGTTCTTTCTGGCAGGCAGCACTGCTCTACTTTCAGTGGCCTCTCTGTCCCTCCCACAAATCCCTTCTTTCTGGTCCCTCTGAGACGTGTATATGTGTGCATGATATACTGAGTGTGAGATACAACAAAATCTGTTACAGACAGTTAATGAACAAGTGACGATAAGGGCTGTGTTTGAGCATGACCCTAAAAATGAAAAAATAAAAAAACACTCTATTCATGTACAGAAATGTAATAATTAAGTGTAAAATAGTTGTATACGTTAAATTTAGATTAATCTTTGTTAAAGCTGTGTTTTGTTGTTTGATTAACATTAGTGACCGGGGTGGTTTCTTCATTTGGGTGATTGGGCGACGCACCACCAAAGTGCGAAAGTTGAGGATTTTTTTTTCTATCACAGCTGTCACTGTTCTAGACTGCTTGTTCTGCCTCTGGATATATAGTCCAATCAGCATCAAGTCACATTCTGTGGAGTACCTCCCCTTTTTGGGCGATTTCACTCTGGCCGAGAATCGCCCAGACTGTTCTCATAAGCTGTGTCCAAAAGTTAAGCGTGCACACTCCGAAGGCCACGCCCCCAAAGTGCACAAAGGACCTTCGTAGAATTTCCTAAATGCGCCACCAGGGGTTCCCGATTACCACTCTGTCGTATAGCAACTGTGCGAGAGGACAGCTGCCATGCTTACAGGACAGGTGGAGCCAGAATTGCTCATTTTTGTTTTTATGATTTACGTGATAATGGAGGAGACGGTGATGTACCTCAGGCTTAACCAAGACCAAGGACAGGTAAGTTACACTGGTTTGCTGCATCTTTAATTGCCGGATTACAATTTTAAATGCAGGTATTGGCTTGGGGCTTACTTGAATAATGTAATAATAATAATTTGTATCAACATAAAAAAAATACTAAACACACACAGACATACACACACACACAAACACACACACAACATGATGCATTGTTGGAGATTAAACTACCCAACGGTATATAAAGTAGGCAACTTTAAATTATGAGTATGCAAGATGCAAGATAATACTTTTAATTAGAGGATAGTTAACCCAAAAATTCTGTAATCATTTACTCACCCTCAAGTTGTTCCAGGTTTGGAATTTTCATTTTTGGGTGAACTATCCCTTTAGGTAAGGTTTTAAATATGACTAGTAGTTTTTCCCCAATGTGGTATTAGTAGTTACTACAAGTGGTTTACTAAAGTATCTCAATATTTCTTCTACCAATTACTTTGTCATAGCTCTAAACAATTTCTCTTTTCCTTCTTTCCCTAAATCAGTCCAGACCCCTGTACTGCAGGATAAAGCTGAATGTGCCAGTGCTGGACAGGTTTTTAACGGTTTTCGGCTGAGCAGGGAGGTCCTGACAGTACTGCTGGATCTTCGAAGAAGTGAACGGCAACAGTGATGGGGTGCAACAATCCAGACCCTGGTGTTTCTTTTCTGTCTGGCCAGTGGTACATCATACAGCGTGGTCTCCAGAGTGTTTGACATGTCTCATTCCACTGTCCACTGCATTGTCCTCCGAGTCGCTGAGGAGGTGCTGGCCATTTACCACCAAGAGATTCCCCTCCTGAAGACCCCAGAACACATGGAGGCAGGGCTGACCTCAAAATTTATGTTGTTTTTCTGATGTTAAATCTAAGTTATGTTGTAAATTGTTGTAAAAGGTACTTTCAGTAATGTATAGAACAATTTGTTTTAATGTGTAAAAATTTTTTAAAGGACAAAAAATTCAACGTACAGAAGAATATTTTGTAAGCTGCATAAAAAAATTAATGTACATAACAATTACTTCTTTTATTTACACATGTGAATATGCATAACAAAAAATACAAAATGTACAGAAAGTACTCAAATTTATTTACAAATAAATTACATTAAAAAGATGAATAACGTATACAACTTAACATTTCTTTTTTAACTTACATCACAAAAAGAAACTACAGAAATTAGGTTGTTTCATTGACAATGAATATTTGTCAATGAAATATATCTTCTGTATATCTACAGAAGAATATTTTGTAAGCTGCATAAAAAAATTAATGTGTACATAACAATTACTTCTTTTATTTACACATGTGAATATGCATAACAAAAAATACAAAATGTACAGAAAGTACTCAAATTTATTTACAAATAAATTACATTAAAAAGATGAATAACGTATACAACTTAACATTTCTTTTTTAACTTACATCACAAAAAGAAACTACAGAAATTTGCTGCATCTTTAATTGCCGGATTACAATTTTAAATGCAGGTATTGGCTTGGGGCTTACTTGAATAATGTAATAATAATAATTTGTATCAACATAAAAAAAATACTAAACACACACAGACATACACACACACACAAACACACACACAACATGATGCATTGTTGGAGATTAAACTACCCAACGGTATATAAAGTAGGCAACTTTAAATTATGAGTATGCAAGATGCAAGATAATACTTTTAATTAGAGGATAGTTAACCCAAAAATTCTGTAATCATTTACTCACCCTCAAGTTGTTCCAGGTTTGGAATTTTCATTTTTGGGTGAACTATCCCTTTAGGTAAGGTTTTAAATATGACTAGTAGTTTTTCCCCAATGTGGTATTAGTAGTTACTACAAGTGGTTTACTAAAGTATCTCAATATTTCTTCTACCAATTACTTTGTCATAGCTCTAAACAATTTCTCTTTTCCTTCTTTCCCTAAATCAGTCCAGACCCCTGTACTGCAGGATAAAGCTGAATGTGCCAGTGCTGGACAGGTTTTTAACGGTTTTCGGCTGAGCAGGGAGGTCCTGACAGTACTGCTGGATCTTCGAAGAAGTGAACGGCAACAGTGATGGGGTGCAACAATCCAGACCCTGGTGTTTCTTTTCTGTCTGGCCAGTGGTACATCATACAGCGTGGTCTCCAGAGTGTTTGACATGTCTCATTCCACTGTCCACTGCATTGTCCTCCGAGTCGCTGAGGAGGTGCTGGCCATTTACCACCAAGAGATTCCCCTCCTGAAGACCCCAGAACACATGGAGGCAGGGCTGACCTCAAAATTTATGTTGTTTTTCTGATGTTAAATCTAAGTTATGTTGTAAATTGTTGTAAAAGGTACTTTCAGTAATGTATAGAACAATTTGTTTTAATGTGTAAAAATTTTTTAAAGGACAAAAAATTCAACGTACAGAAGAATATTTTGTAAGCTGCATAAAAAAATTAATGTACATAACAATTACTTCTTTTATTTACACATGTGAATATGCATAACAAAAAATACAAAATGTACAGAAAGTACTCAAATTTATTTACAAATAAATTACATTAAAAAGATGAATAACGTATACAACTTAACATTTCTTTTTTAACTTACATCACAAAAAGAAACTACAGAAATTAGGTTGTTTCATTGACAATGAATATTTGTCAATGAAATATATCTT